ATGACAGTGGACTGCGAACGAACACATGACACCTATGCTATGAATTGTTGTTGTCTTAGAATTAAGTTGCGATAAACATGCGCGCAATTGTCGGTGTCCGATTTGAAGTTCATCCTTTTTTTGTTAGGGGTGTTCATAATATGTAGCATTTCCAAAGTATAGCGTTTATGGTAGTGTTTTTCCTTTTCTAAAATTGCTACGTTGTCAAAGTTTGGATAATGTCCCGTATTCTTACAATGATATGACAAGGCCGTCTTGTTGTCCGAGGAGTTGTTCCTTAATTTAATATTTGACTTATGAGCGGAAATCCTTGTCTTTAACTTTGATTTAGTTGTCCCCACATATACCTTATTACATACGTGGGGCCCGTCGCCATTGCATGGAATTTTATACACTACGTTGGATTTCTCAAAATTCGGAATCTTGTCCTTTGTATTGCTGTAGATTTGTCGCAGTGTGTTATTATATGTAAAGGCAATTGTATAATTATCTTTATCATATATACTCGAATTTTTAACCCTTTCGGATATCCCTGGAACATATGTCGATGATCTGTAAATTTTATTTTCCCTGTCTCTATTTGTCCCCTGTTTAGTGGTACCAACGTAGTAATTACGAATCAATTTGTTTATCAACGACAAGGGGAAATCATTATACTCCAGAATTCTTTTAATAACAGCAATATTTTTTGTGTGATAAATTTTGTCGCTTATAGAGAGGACCCTTCTAATGAAGTTGTTGGCAAGAATTATCTTTTTCTCATGTTTGGAGTGAAAGTTAATTAGTCTCCCAGACGCAGTCGGCTTTTTGTACCAGTCAATTGTTAATAAATTATTTCTTATTATTAGAGTGTCAAGATAAGATCACTGTCCATTATTGTCTTTTTCTATTGTAAATTTAATCGACTTATTGTAGTTGTTGAGTGTGTGTAGCATTATGTCCATATCTTGGGTTTTAATAATAGCAAATAGATCATCCACGTATTTGGTCAGTAAACGCGGTTTGTTAGTGGAGTCCCTTTCAAATTTTGCCAGTAATTCCTCCATGACTATGTCCGCTATTATAGGTGAGGCTGGAGAACCCATTGGCATTCCTGATCGTTGCTCGTAGATTTTATCATTGTACTTAAAATAACGGTTCTCCTTAACGCAGAATTTTAGTATTGTCAAGAATAGTTCTTTCGTCAAAAAGGTTAGGTTTTTAATTTCGTCCCATCTTGAGGCTATGAGTTCGATGGCCAAATCTACGGGTATGCTGGGAAATAAGGACACAACATCGAATGACACTAAAATCTCATCATCATATACATAAGAGCCTTTAATCTTGTTTTTGAACTCCATTGCATCTTTAACATTATATTTGGAGGACTTTGTTAAATTTTTCAGAATGTTAGTGAGATATTTACATAAATTATACGACGGAGAATTGACGGACGAACAAATAGGCCTGAGTGGAGTGCCATCTTTATGGATTTTCGGCAATCCATAAACTCTCGGTGGGTTAGCCGTTTTACACATAAGGGAATTCTTTTCATTCAAATCAATGATTTTGTTATTGTACATTCTTTCCACTATGTCATTATTCTTGTCCTGTAATTTATTCGTCGGGTCGCGTTTTAAAACTCTGTAAGTGGCTATGTCATTCACCAATACTTGCATTTTTGCATCATATTCAGATTTTTCCATTACTACCGTTACATTTCCTTTATCAGCATTGAGGACTAAGAGTTGTTTATTATTATTCAGGAATTTCTTTGTGGAACCTAGGGTGTCACTTATAAATTTGTCTCTCATAGAAGTCGTCGTTTTGTTAAGGTGGTCGCGTATTAGCGTCGTCAAGTTATTTCTTTCAATCTCTCCAATTTCTCCAATTCATAGCATAGGTGTCATGTGTTCGTTCGCAGTCCACTGTCAT